TGGGTCCTTTTGCTTTCCACTGCAGCTCTCCTTGAGATACTACCAAGTAGGTCCTGACTAAGGTGGAATCCCCTCTCTTGAGGGCAATGACTGTAATGGTGTTTGTTCTGCTGACTTCTTGCAGTTTTTTTAATTACACAGTCTCATGGTTCAGGTTGAATATTAGGAAGAATTTCTTTACTGAGAGGGTTTTCAGGCACTGGAACAGCCTGCCCAGGGAGGTGGTTGAGTCACCATCCCTGGAGGTGTTTAAGAGAAGGGTAGATGTTGCCTTGAAGGACATGGTTTAGTGGTGTTGATGGGGCTGGGAAAAGGTTGGACTCGATCTTGAAGGTCTCTTCCAGCCAAAACTTTTCTATGAATCTGTGGTTGCTGCATGTGAACATACCCTTGACCTTCATGTCCCAGACCAATTCTTCCTTGTTCGTGAATAAGAAACCCAACAGAGAATCTCCCCTAATTGACTCATCCGTTGCTTGTGTCAAGAAATTGTCCACAGCACACTCCAGAAACCACATGGATTGTGCCTGATCATATAGCTCTTCCAATTAAAGTACACCCAAGAGTAAGTCCTAAGGCCTTTGGTCATGTGAGATAGCTCTACTGATTTTTTCACCTTGATCAAGTAGTCTGTGGTGTCTAGCACCATGTTGCCCACATTGCTTTGCTGCTTTCTCCTTGCCCAGAAGCTTTCAACTCACTCATCTCCTGTCCCGTGGCAAATCTCTGAGTACTCCTCTGCATAAAGAGCAACAACCTCGCCCATTCCAGCCTGTCTTTAATGTTTATGTTCATCTGGAGCTCCTTGCTAGCAGCACCATGATTGCTAGAAGTTTACTAACATTCATATTCTGTGGAAGAGGAATTTTTTTGAGGTCTATCAAGCTCAAGCTGTAAGTAAGTCTTTGGAGGTGTTCCACAAGCAATTTTTCAGAAAGCTGAGGAAGTTTTCTGGGACTGTGTAACTGTGTTCTTTTTCTCCTTCTTATATTCTTCCATACTTGAATATCTGCTTTTGGCATGAAACTGTTGGAGGTAGGATCCTGAATTAGGTGAACTGTAGGTTTCACCTAGTGCAGTTGTTGCTGTGTTCTTCTCTTATCTAATCTGTACAGTTCCAAATTTGACCAAGTGAGTAGTATGTCTGCCAAAGAAAATCTGAAACTTTTCTTTCTCAGAATTGCTAGCCCACTTCGAGTGCATTCTGGACATCTTGATTGTAGGCTTCTCTACAGCAATGGCATTTAATGCCCTTCAGGAATAGTTTGAAAAAGAATTTCTTTGTTACTGATCTTTGTCAAGGGAGTCTGAAGTCAAGCAGCACACCAAAGTACAACCTTTTAAGAATAAAGAGTGCTGTTAACATTTTAAAGACTGCAGCTTTTCTCCTAGAAAGTAGCATTTGAAGAGAACTTCAGAGCATGTGAATGGCAAGTAAACAACTAAACATGAACTTTGTTCGTGTTGTCATACAACTGGCTGTCAGAATTCTTGATATCACAAACAGGAAAATATGCTTAAATGGCACTGATGAAACCGCTTTTCTGCAGTAATGTTTCTGGCTTTTACTTCGAAAAGGCATAATGGAAGGCTTTCAGAGAGTTGCTGCAAAAATATTCCAGCATTTGGGAAAAAACCTTTATCCTGGAAAGTTAAAAATAACTTTTTTTTTTTTTAGTCCCATGGAGGATTAAGGAAGTCTATAGTATCTGCAAATGGGAGCTGAATATATGGGGGAAAGAATTTTCTTTAATGTACACAGACAAAGACACAACTGTTGTATTTTTGATCCACTGGATTTTGCAAACCAGAAGTCTGGCACGCTTCTGTCCAGCAGGCTTTGAAGGACCAACTATTGGATTGCTGGATTCATCAGTTGTAATCTTTTAAATCCATTATGGATTTTTTTTTTGGCTGAAAATGTGGTAATAGTTAAAGAAGAGAATATTGTGCTTTGTATTTGAATCAGTTGATAATTACATTTCTGGTTTCTACTCCACCCGTGTTGTTTCTTGCCCTTTGCTGTGCACCTTTACAATGAGTGTGTCTGTGTTTGATCAGCACACTGGAAAGCTATTTTTAAGTCCCTGTTAGGATTTGTCTTCTCCATGGTGAAAAAGCCCAGCTCCCTCAGCCTCTTGTAGAGGTCATATTCCTGAGCTTCTTAGCAGTCCCTTACTCCTTCCCAAGAGACGGCATAAGGAGTGCCAAGTAAAGGGCAGTAACCACTTCCGATGATACATGAGCTCGGCTCCTGGCACGGCTCAGGATGTTGTGGACCTTTGTTGCCAGGGCATGCTGGTGGCTCAGGCTTTGCTTGTTGGCCGTGCTAGTCCTCAAAGCAGAGCAGCTCACCAACCATGCCGGCCATCGCCTGTGTCATTGCCAAGGATTCTCCCTTCCCACGTGCAGAACTTCCATATTTGTTCTTGTTGAATATCATAAAACATTTGTCATCCCATTTCGCCAACTTATGTAGTTCATGGTGATTCCTTTTGAAAATATATGAGTCTATGATTTCTTCCAAAGCCAAAAGAGTCACATCCAGACATGTTTCATGGCAAAAAAAAAAAAATCTGTATTTCTGTTTTACAATAACTTTTGGGTAGGGTTTGATCAAGGAAGCTCAGTGGTTTCAGCAGCGGCGCTGACAACAATGACAACACCGAGGTCGTGGGTTCGATTACCGCTCGGTCCCCATGTGTTGCCTGGTCTAGTGTGGCATCCCTGCCCATGACAGGGAGGTTGGACTAGATGATCTCTAAGGTCCCTTCCAGCCTAGGCCATTCTGTGATTCACTGCTTACGCTGCTTTTATACTTCCTTGTGGTTGGTGTCTGTGCATCAGCTCTAGCCAGTGTATAAGGAGAACGTTGTGGTTACAGGATTATGGAATAGTGAGTGTATGACCGTGCGGTCCAGAGTAATTTGCAGATACTGTTCAGATGCTCTTGGGTTTACTAAATATTTTTATTTCAATTTCTAAGTATATTTTGGCAGACCTGGCATCCAAATAAGCATCCAGACAGTCAAGAAACAGTGCAGTTTTAGAAATTGTTAAAAACTCTGTTCAACTGTTTAGTGACAGGCAAACACACAGGAAAAAAGAAAAGAATCTTTTCTGTTCAGATCCACAGCAAATAGGGTGAATTAAGGTAAGTGTGTGATAAACTAGATTAATGTTTGTCCTTGATGATCTGAAAGGTATTTTCCAACCTAAATGATTCTATGTTTTCTGTGATACAGTGATAACTTAATGTTGTAATCAAATTATTTTTTTAAACGATTGCGTTCATTGCTTCTGCCTATCTCGCATCAAGATAATGAGATCACAGCTGATCAGTGAAAAGTAAGCTGATAGACGATTGTAAAATTACATCTGTATTATGGTTAGAGAGTTTTATCTCAGCATTGTGTTTAAACTACTGTAGTTAAATGGGGAAAACTTGTTCACAGAGTGGTGGAAGTTTGTAAGGAAGGAACTTGCTTGTCCCTGAAATTGCTTTATTCGCTACATAGAACTCAAAAAGCTCAGTTTTGGAACTTGTAATACAATTATTTTTTTTTAAGGACTTCATAGATATGCATATATTTCCATGGAATATTTGTATCTTTCAGTGAATATTTCAGGGTTAGGGCTGGGCCAGCAACTAAACAAATGACAGATGCTCTCTTAATAACCTATCTCTCTCCCCAAAGGGGAAGGGAAAAAGGAATAATGCAGAAATACTTATGGATTGGAAAAGAAAACTAAAACCAGCTTTAATGAAACAGTAATATCACTAATAAGGAAGTAATTAAAGTAATGGAATCTGTAATTCATGGAAAAAAGTACTCTTGAACTTAATGACTTTCCTTTAGATTCTTGGGTAAATGAGTCCTATTTTATTGATAAAACACATGAAGCTTATCTATAAGCAAGTGATATAGGCACTATGCCATTTTATTACCTTAAAAATAAATGAGATTGGTTTTGAGGAATTTGTGGTATGAATACTATTCCTTGCATAAAGTAACAAAAAGAAAAATACCATAATTTCAGGTTTGGATCTTCCAGCTCCTTCCTTCTTGTGATTTATTAGGCAATTATCTTAAGCCACTCAAATGTACTTCATAATAGAAGTTAATTTTAGTGTTAAGAGAGCAACAAGTATACCTTCTGCAGCCAGAACTTTCTCTGAAATATCTAGTAAACTCTGCAGTAATAACAAAGTGAAAATAGGAGATTGGAGAAGTGTAGAGATCAAGCTGTGCCTAAGAGTGTTGATTTGTTCTGTTATGTTCTGTATAGATTCTAATGTAATCTTAAAAGTAGTAGTTTTGTGTTGCATCTAGCAAGCACAGGAGGTACAAAATACAGCCTGTACAAAACACATAATAGAAGTTCATGGAACAGATAAGTTTTCAGGAAGTATTAGCATTTTTCATTTTAGCCTATGTGCATTTGGGGACGTTATTTCAGATTTTTCTTTATTTGAACAGTATGCTTTAAAATACCTAGTCTGATACTGTTATACTTTGTATTAGGAAGAAACTTCAAATGAAAAGAAGAACCTAGACCTTTTCTACCATAAAGATTGTGGGTGAATTTTCCAATAGTAAATAAACAGAGAAACTTACTAGTATTTTGATGCTTATTTTTTTATAAGTCTTTCCTAGGTGAAAAATAAATAAAATAATTTATTGAAAACTTTGACTACATTAAAAATACATTGTTTCATTTCAGACATAACTTTGAGGCATTCTGTTGATTTTAAAGCTGAACAAATCCAGAGATTAATCTTACTGTGTGGTATGGTAGTTTGAATTTTGATTCTGAAGGTATCCTCTGTTGTGTTTTATTTTTTTAATCTTCGCATTTCCTCTGTGTCATACTTATTTCTCTCACCTTCCCCAGCATGGTTTTTAATAAGTATTCTAAGTTCAGTAGTCAAAGTAGGACACTTAGGATACTTTTGTAGGTCAGTGTAAGTCACATTGGTTTTTTTCTTCTGTTTGTAGAAGAGGTGGGGGAGGAGACAAGAATGGAGAGTGAAGAGGATAAAGAAGAGGCCCACAAAGAAGAAGAGAAACACACAGAGAGAAGTATGTAATGTTGAAACTATCACATGTCACTGGTGGCACGTGTTAGAAACACACAATCATTGAGCTTGAAAGAGACCTTTGGAGATTATCTGGTTCAAACCTCCAGGTTCCTGGAGTGTTCTGGTGATAACTTCCTCCTCTAAGTGATAGAGAAGCCAACAAGGAGAGGAGTTACGTTGGACCTTGTTCTCACAAGTAAAGAAGGATTGATGGAGAATTTGAAGCTCAGGGGAAGCCATGACTGCAGCGACCATGAAATGGTGGAGTATAAGATCCTTAGGGGCAGCAAGTAAGCCGCACAGCAAGCTCACTGCCCTGGACTTCAGGAGAGCAGACTTTGGCCTCATCAAGGACCTGCCTGGTAGAGTGAAATGGGATAAAGTTCTGGAGGGAAGAAGGGCCTAAGAAAGCTGGTCAGTGTTCACAGATCACCTGCTCCAAGCTCAGGAGCGATGCATCCTGACAAAGAGTAAGTCAGGCAAAAACTTGGGAAGGCTGACGTGGATGAACAAGTCGCTCCTGGACAAACTCAAGCACAAAAAGGAAGCCTAGGGATGTACTCCTGGGATGAGTACAGAGAAATTGTTTGAGCAGCCAGGGATCAGTTGGAAAAGCCAAAGCCGTGATAGAATTAAATCTGGCCAGGGACATCAAAGGCAACAGGAAAATCTTCTGTAGGTATATAGGTCGTAAAAGGAATAGGGAAGATATGGGTCCTCTCCAGAAGGAAACGAGAGACCTGGTTACTTGGCATACGGAGATGGATGAGATACTCAATGACTTTTTTGCCCCAGTCTGTACCAGCAAGTGCTCCAGCCACACTGCCCAAGTTGTGAAAGGCAAATGCAGGGACTGAGAGAATGAAGAACCTCTCACTGCAGGAGACGATTAGATTTGAGACCATCTAAGGAACATGAAGGTCCACAAGTCCGTGGGACCTGATGACATGCATCTGTGGGTCCTGGGCAAACTGGCAGATGAATTTGCTAGGCCACTAGCCATCGTTTTTGAAAAGTTGTGGCAGGCTTGGGAAGTGACAGTCTGGCGAAGTTCCTACTGACTGGAAAAGTGGAAACATAACCCCCATTTTTAAAGAAAGGAAGACCTGGGGAACTACAAGCCAGTCAGGCTCACGTCTGTGCCAGGCAAGATGATGGAGTGGATCCTCCAGGAAACTGTTCTAAGGCACATGGAAAATAAGGAGGTGATTTGCAACAGCCGGCATGGTTTCACCAAGGGCTAATTGTGCCTGAAAAATTTGGTGGCTGTCTGTGATGGAGTTACCATGTGAAGAAGGGAAGAGCAAGTGACATCATCTGCCAGGAACTGTGCAAAGCATTTAACACTATCTCACGTGACATCCTTATCTCTAAATTGGAGAGTTGTGTATTTGGTGTATGGAATTGACTGAATGGTGGCACTCAAGTTGCAGTCCATGGCTTGATGTCTGATTGATGACTAGTGACAAGTGGTGTTCCTCGGGGGTTGGTACTGGGATCGATGCTGTTTAACATCTTTGTTGGCAACATGGCCAGTGGAATTGAGTGCACCCTCAACAAGTTTGCTGATGACACCAAGCTGTGTGATGTGGTCAACATGCTGGAGGGAGGGAATGCCGTCCAGAGGGACCTTGACAGGCTGGAGAGGTGGGCCCATGCCAACCACGTGAAGTTCAACAAGGCCATGTGCAAGGCAATTCCAGCCATAAATACAGGCTGGGAGATGAGTGGATGGAGAGGAGCACTGCAGAGAAGCAGTTGAGGGTTTTTACAGATGAAAAACTGAATATGAGCCAGCAGTATGCGTTGGCAGCCCAGAAAGCCGATTACATCCTGTGCTGCGTCAAGAGACGCATGGCCATCGGGGAGATGATTCTTCCCCTCTACTCCACTCTGGTGAGACCCTACGTGGAGTACTGCATTCAGCTCTGAGGCCCCCAACATAAAAAGGACGTGGACCTGTTGGAGCACCTACCCTATGAGGACAGGCTGAGAGAGTTGGGGCTTTTCAGCCTAGAGAAGAGAAGGCTCTGGGGAAACCTTAGAGCAGCCTTCCAGTACCTTAAGGAGGTCTGCAGGAAGGATGGGGAAGGGACTCTTTATCAGGGAGTGTAGTAATATAGGGCAACAGGCAATGGTTTCAAACTGCAAGAGGATAGGTTTAGATTAGATACTAAGAAATTCTTTTCTCTGAGGGTGATGGCACTGGGACAGGTTGCCCAGAGAAATGGTAGGTGCCTCCTCCGTGGAAGTGCTTGTGGCAGGTTGGATGAGGCTTTGAGCAACGTGATACAGTAGATGTCCCTGCCCATGGCATGATTGTTGGAACTAGATGGTCTTTAAGGTCCCTTTAAAGCCTCACCATTCTGTGGTTCTATAAAAAGGTTCAAATGGACGTCTGGACACGTTCCTGTGTGACCTACTGTAGGTGATCCTCCTCTGGCAGGGGGACTGAATTAGATGATCTTACAAGGTCCCTTCCACTCCCTAATATTCTCTGATTCTGTGAATGTTTTTTCAGTCAGGGATTGGAGGTCAAAATTTTGTGGCTAGTAGAAAAAAAGTTCATTGCTGACACAGGCAGAACAAGTTTTATTTGACTGGAAACCTTAGAAGAGGATTGCATTTTCGGAAGAGGGTTTTGTTTTGCATCACATTGGCCATGTTTCATTGTAGGATGGTGCTGATCGGAGCAGGAAGAACCAGAGAGAAGTTCTGGAGAAGGGAATGGTGGTACTAAAGGCTCTTTATTTTGGGGGCAGTGGTTTGGTGAAGCACAAAGCAGAACTCACTAACAGGGCAGCAGTGTACTGAGATGAAGGGGACTGGTGTTCTACTTTTATGTTGTCTAAAATCTTGTTTTTCCAAAGGCGTTCTTACTTGTTTCAGATGAAAAGCTTAAACTGGGGACAAATAAACCTTCATAATAATCATGGCATTCTGCAACTACCTTGTTTTTTCAAATGTTCCTCACAAGCAATTGTATCCAATTGTTTCAGGTGAAGTGTCAAGGAGAAAGCGTTCCAAATCTGAGGACATAGACAATGTTCATTCTAAACGTCGTCGGTACATGGGAGAAGATTATGAAGCAGAACTTGAAGTGAAAATTACAGCCAGAAAGGATGTTGACCAAAAAATACAACAGGTAGAATGGAGGTGCAAAGCACAGATGGCAAGCACACACCTGTCACTTGTCTTACCATCTTTGAATTAGCTGTCTTTTCCCACACACTGGCTGTCCTCTCCATTTTCTCCTTTTTCATGCTTGAAGATAGTATGTAATTCAAATAACAAAGGTGGATTAATTCATATAAAGTCCTATATATCCCTAGTTTTAAGAGACCAAGTACCATTTGAAAACTACAGTACAAGAAATACTTAAACTCCTAAGTCTCCTGACTGTAGAGGTAGCATCTTAGCAAAATAAGTATTTCTGTGTGGTAAAGGTTTATGTGGTGCACTTTATTGTGTTCCTAGCTTTAAAGAAAGTGTCTCCAAGTAAGAGGGCAATCAACGTGGCATTTTGCAGATTTTTATAGAGCTGTTAATTGCCTGATGGAACGATTGGCACATAAAGAAACCCATGGTCTTGAAGAAAAAAAAAATTGTGCCCTTCCATTAGTTGGTTAGCTAGTACCTCTTGTAATTTTTTGTAAGGTAGGATGCAGAAAACTGAACAGTGTTTGCTTATTTTTGTTTCTTAAGGAAATTTTTTGTGCTGCAATAAGCGTAGGAGGGAGGAAAAAATTAAATAGGGTGTCAAACTGTGTAAATCAGTCTCTTCCCATTTTTAGCTACTGTAAAGGAGGTATTTCCCAGGGCAGAATGAATCTTTCAGATAAAGCTTTTTTGAACATCTTTGATTTCTGTTCTTTGAATGTCAGTGTCCCTTTTAAGAACAGAAAAGTAAAAGGAAAGATTAATTTGTGTAAACACAGTAATTTCTGAAAAGATCTTCTGGAAGATCACTGGAATGAAATTAATTTCTTGAGTTAACGTCGCAGAGGGACCACTTGTGTTTGCCAGAATAGATGTGAAAGCTTTTCTTAGCTGTGCAACCTCATGCTTTTTGTTGACTGTAGATCTATTTGATTGACAGGGCACAACCATTCCCATTGTTCTGTTTGAAGCAGGATTTTTGTTAAGCAATACCCAAATTCTAGGATTATATTTATTTATTTTTTAATAATAATTTTACAGGTTATCCAGAGGCTGTTGGAAGAAAAACTTACCGCTTTACAGTGTGCTGTATTTGACAAGACTCTGGCAGACTTGAAAACCCGAATAGAAAAAGTAGAATGTAACAAGAGGCATAAAACTGTGCTTACTGAACTAAAGGTGAGTGTTTGAACTGCATACTAGAGTAAAATTTAAAAGTAAGTTCCTCAGCGTTTAGTTGGAAGTCTCCTGTAATTGTCAGTAGGAAAGCCATTTTCACACCACAAAGTGAAGGGTGAGAAGGAAGCAGCAAATACTAATGTTGCTTTTGAGTGGTAAGAGTCTCTTTCCTTTTCTTCTTTTTCAGAAGAAAAGAAAGCAAATCATTAATCATCAAAAAAAAAATCCTGAAGCAAATCTTCCTTCCAGCAAACTAATTCATTAGCTGTTAGTAAATAGCTTTTCCACTCTCTGTTCCATTTAGACGTTTTTCAAATGAATGTTAAGTGTGAAAATATCTAATGCCTCTAGGAAGGTAGAAGTTTGCTTAAAAATGAAGAATTGCAGGAAGGAGGAGGGCAGCAGCACTGGACTTTGTAGAGTGTTCAAACAAAAAGGCATCATGTGATACCCGTGTTTTTTCTCCAGAAAACTAATAATTATCTCTAGCAAGGAAAAAAACGGCTGGCATTGAAGGAAACGTGCTTTCTTGCATTCTTTGTAGAAATGGTGTACGTAGTGGTAACAGGAGGAACACCATAGAAATCAAATAACTTCAAGGTGACAAGACAGTTAAAAGCTTATCTCATAATGAATTCAAACAGTAAGGCCATTTTACTGGTAACGTAAAAAAGTATGGACTTTGCCAGACCAGGTTGTACTACATAACTCTTTCCCCTTGCCACTTCAGGCATTTTATGTTGAGCTTTTGTTAAAACGCTAAGATGCTTTCAGTATCCTTGTTCATTAGGATCTTTAGCCATCAGCTACAGTGTCAAATCTGTAACATAAGTCTGTGAATGTCTTGATGTTGATAAATTCACAATCTGAGCTTACGTGGTTTTGCTCCAGAATGCCTCAACATTGTAAAAATAAACAGAAGCACAATTTTAGGCAAGAAGTTCTGAAATTACAGTATATGAAACATACTGATTTTTAAAACTTCTATTCTTCTAGTGCTAGCATAGTTTTTCAAGAGTTTATAAAAAAAAATTAACTCTTCTTTCTGTGAAGAAAAAAAAAAAGTAGTGTCACAGCTACTGCCTCCAGAATGAGGCAGCCATCGGAACTTCAGCCTAGATAGGGCAAATTATTACAGAAGGAATGGACACCGAAGAGTATATTAAGGGAAGCACAAGAGGTAAAAGACAAGATGTAAGAACGGTGCTTAAAAAGGTAACGAACCTGACACTAGAACACCAAATAGAGTAGAACAAACCTGTTGGTAAGGTGTGAGTGATACGTAGTGTACTAGTGAGGAGGACAAATGGGCAAAGAGTAGATGATCCAACAGACAAAACGGGGTGCGTATTTCAATATGGTAGGTACATAATGCATTAAAACAAATGTTTTCAGTTGCTTTCGTTCCTGCAGGATATTGTGTGGACCTCTGCAAGATATATTCTGTTTTGCTGTTCTGAATAGGAAATAAAATAATTCAAGTTGTCTCTAAGATATCTTGATCGTGATACACGCGTGTGTCTTTCTGCTGCTCTGAAGTAATTGAGTTGTACTGTATTTCAAGGAATCATAGAATCATTAAGGTTGGAAAAGACCTTTAAGATCAAGTCCAACTGTCAACCCAATATTACTGTGAGCACTAAACTATGTCCTGAAGTGCCACATCTACACGTTTTTTGAACACCTGCAGGAATGGCAACTCCACCACTTCCCTGGGCAGCCTGTTCCAATGCCTCACCCCTCTTCAGGGAAGAACAACTTCCTCTGATATGAAAATAGCCTTTGACTTGATGTCTTAATTATACGTCTTCAAGTTTGTGTACTTTATTTGATGGTTCTTGGAGAGAGTATTTATGGTTTCTTTTGTTTGCTTTTCATCTTCTTCCCATTTAGGCTAAAATTGCAAGATTGACAAAGCGATTTGGAGCAGCCAAGGAGGACTTGAAGAAAAGACAGGAGGTAAGAACTGGATTTGTTATCTTTGTTTTTCTGTGTTAAGCTAAACCTTGTGTTGAAAAATGTAGACGTTTCACATGCAGAAAAATGTGACCTTGTTGTTCAGTGGCGTTCATAAATAGGTTTGTCTTGTTTCATTAAAGGCGGTGATGTGAACGAATAGTCTTTTAACATCTGTTACGTAATTGTGATTTGAACAAAAAGTTCTATAGGCATTATTAGTGTGAAAGCACATTAAACTCTATGCAAGTAAATCTAATTTACTTCAATATAGAGAGTACAGAGTAAATAAGTGAATCCCATACCTTGATTTTGGGGTGAAGGGGGAAGAGTAGAGGGAATGGGTACAAACAATAGTATTTTGCTGTGTCTGGAATTAATATTTTGGATTACGTACCGTGAAGAAGTGGGAAACTGAAAGTCTGTTAACGTTCAAGAAGAAATTTTGAATCTTGCGCTATAAAAACCTGAAGGCGAGAGATTCATAAAAAGGGATGATGTAGGAGAGAGGGAGGCAGGTAGGACCGAGGAGATTTTTCAGGATTGTAAAACATGTCAAGTTGCCCTGCAGCATTGGCTCCAGAAAATATGTATCTCACACAGAAATGAAAGAACATGAAATATAATGAAAGCGTAAGATTGCAAGCTGACTTATGGTTGTTTTATTATGGCTTCTCTCTCTCTTTCTTCCTTTTTAGAATTCACCAAATGCACCAGTGTCTCCAGGTAAAGCAGCAAGTGAACCTGCAAGCACAAACAGTGCACCATATCGGTAAGCAAGCACGTCACTGTGACTATGTTAAAATTAACAATAGGACCATTGAGATACCTACTGTAATGGATAATCCCTGCATTTTCATTATTTAATTAAAGTGCTTTTCCTTTTCTTTCATTGCTCTTTGGTTGTAAAATTCTATTTTCTTTCACAGAAGTTGTAAAGGGACAGTTTCCGATCTGCTCTTGGGTAAACCGGGATGAGTGTTGTTTAAAGTTTATTTCAAAGAAGGGAAAATTTGCATGGTGAAAGACAAACTGGGTGCAAGAACTTGTAAATTTACAATTAATTTTAATTTTTTTTTAATAGGGAAACATCCAAAGTTAACTTGCAGGGGGCTTCGGAAAATAAATGGGTTCCGAAAATCTCAGTGAAAAAATAAGTGTAGAATTTTTTTCATTATCACACTGTTCAAAGTTGTACCTGGGTGACTCACTGAGAAATGCTTGTTCCGTAGAAATGCTGGCACAGTGAGACAGATACTGGAGTCAAAGAGGGGTGTGGGGGAGAGCACAGCAGCAACTTCTCAAGCCCCTGTGAATGCAGGTAAGAAACCACATGGACTGTAAAGACGTTTTCTAAAAGTTGTATTGCATTCCGTTACATAAGTAAGTAATGGAACAGAGCAAAACTGAGTTTTAGGACTTTTCTGACATTATTTTAACTCCCTTCCACCTTTCCAGTTTATATTTGTGTAGTGCACTTACCAGGTAAGCGAAAAAATACATTGATTTGGCCACCCAGAATATGTGGGTAAATCTGATGCTTCAGCAAACTGCTGGCCGGGCGTGGCAACAAAACTTGCAGTCCCTTGGCTGCCAAGAACTGAAACATGGGACTCAAAGGCCGTTTTTTGTACTTGATCATAGCAGGATGCTTAGACCTTCCCCTCCACCTCATGGCTACAGAAGTTGAGCGGGGGAACTAAAGGAAGTCGTAAGCCCCATTTCTTAAGGGCATCAAGTTGAAAAATGGAATTTTTAGATAAGAATTTATAGGCAATGTAGAATCAAAATCACCATTAACCTTCATTGTAGTCACCCAATGCTTGGTTTTAAAAATAGTTTACCTAATACTGAATGTTTTTCGCAGATTCATCTCATAGTAGGTATATATTGGTTTTCTGTAGTGTATTATGCTCCTGATATTTAGATTTTTTCCTAAAACTTTGTTGCATAAAAGGGAATATCTTGTCTAACACATTAATCCTTGCTTTCAGTAGAGTATTTTGGATACAAGTTCCTACCTGTAAAGAGCAAGTTAGTTGTAACTGAGTTTTTCTTTTGTGTTTTCTGAAGGACCAGTTGATCTACCATTTCTCTAATGAGTGTTTAAAATGCTGTATTTCATCAGTTGTCAGCAGTTAAATCCTGGAGATTTCTTCAAGACTGCGTCATAGTTCTTTGTATATCTTAATTTTTTGCCATTTATATATAGGTATTTTTCAAATGGAAATATGATATTGATTGTGTATTTAACTAGACCATTGAATGAATCAAAGTGCGCAACAGAAAAAGAGTATCTATAGCCTTTCTTTACAAGAAAGTTAGTCATGTACCACATTTTTCATAGAACGATAGGATATTTTGGGATCAGATGGAGCATTAAAGGTCACGTAGTCTAACCCCTCTGCCATGGGCAGGGACACCTTTCACTAGATCAAATTGCTCGAAGCCCCATCCAGCCATACTTTGAACACTCACACTGACAGGAAATACACAACTTCTCTGGAGAACCTGTTCCAGTGATTCGCCACCCTCATTGTAAGTCATTTGTTGTGTTTGAGTGAGACTTCCCACTTAGTTCAAATACTTAATTTTGTGTTAAATTTTTTTTTTGATGCGTGTACTGCCAGCTCCCAGTCTTGCTGCTCCTCCGACACTCATCAGTGCACAGCCTAAGCCTCCGGCTCCAGCGACCTCCAGCAGCTCTTTGACGACAGCAGTTCTTCCCACAGCTAACACAGCTACGGTTGTAGGCACTAACCAAGTGCCCAGCGGCAGCGCGCAGTCAGTGTCTGTCTCGTTGCAGTCTTTGCCCGTAATCTTGCACGTACCTGTCGCAGTGTCCTCCCAGCCTCAGCTCCTGCAAGGCCACACAGGGACTTTGGTCACTAACCAACAGTCGGGCAACGTTGAATTTATATCTGTACAAAGCTCGTCTACAATTGGTAGCGTTACCAAAACGACAGTGTCTTTGGCATCGGCTAACTCAACTAAACCAAATAACAGCCCATCCGTGGCCAGTCCTAGTATTCAGAGGAACTCTCCAGCCAGCGCTACGTCGATAGGCACAACGTTGGCGGTACAGGCGGTTTCTTCTGCACATCCTGTTGCCCAGGCCACAAGGACTTCTTTGCCTACAGTGGGTACTTCAGGACTTTATAACACCGCCAGCAGTCGAGCCCCCCTACAGATGAAGATTCCCCTCTCTGCGTTTAGTAGTACAGCTCCCGTTGAAGCACCCACCGTTACAGCCCCCAGAGTTGGTAAGTGATGCTTGAATGTTGGCACTGGGAGAGGAGAATAGTTGTCAAAGGAAACTGCAGAACTGCACTCATGTGGAAATTTGTTTGTTAGTGTGTTTTACAGAGATGGTTCTTCTGGGTTGCCTTTCTGCTACAATGGTCAAGATCAAAATCATCTCTGTTATAGATGTGTTTCAGCCATTGTTGAAAATAATCCCTCCTTAGGAGGAGTCAGCTGTGTGGCTCTGTAAACTTTGGTTTAGTTAGAACTTGATTTATATCATTCCTGGCATGAAGTTAGAAACTCCTGTTCTACCATTAACAACTTGGTATTTGTTTTTAATGCAGCCTCTCAAAATAATCTGGCTGCCTCTCTAAGCAAAGACATTCTGGAAGAAAAGTATAGTCATTAACTTTAATTTTCACTCTTAAAAGTAAACAAATTGAGGGGAAAAAAAGCAACTGAATACTAACCTGGTTCCAAAGAATTAAGTTTATTGTACTTAAAATAAAATATCTGGACACAGTGAATGTTCAAATAATGATATCTAGATTAACTGTTTTAAAATACTTTCTTTCCATATATGGTCATGCCGTGATGATTCTCTAAACTTATTTTGCATATCTTGAGAATTTTTTTTTTTTACTAAGAGGTGCCCAGATTCCCTAAGTAAGTGGAAATTTTAGCAATTTTCTCATTGGTACAATATAATGTTAAAATGAACTCAGATAGAACTTGACATCAGAACTAGTTTTCTTTCATTTTCTCATCTCTTTTACCTGCTTTAAAATATATCTTCCACAGAGTTGTACAGTTACATGCTTTGAATTGATTTTTGGCTTTAAAACTAAATTGTACAGCTTTAACACAACATAAAAAGGGACTTTTTATGACTGATCAGGCACAGTGACCAAAGGAAGGGCCTATGTGTCCAAAAAAAATTTGTCTCGTTTTATGCAGTTCCTATAGCCTTAGTCTAGAACCTCGTAGGTTTTTCACTGGAATTGAAACCCTGCTTGCTCATAAGCTCTGGTTAAAATGAAAAGCAATGAGACTGGAGAATTTGGATTTAAATGTTTTCAACAGATATTCAAGCAGCTTCTGCTTAAGTTCCTAGTTTAGATGCACGTTGGGCTGAGTTAGTAAAGATACTGAGTCTCCCTGCACAAATTATCTCACGTATTTTGCAGTCTGTTTGACTATCCATTGTTCAGTCAGTTTTTTGTACAAAAATGTTGAATAATGGTAATTTTTTTCAGTTTACATACAGAGGCATGAGATGTTGGAGTTATGTTTTGTGCTTGGATAGGCAAGGGAATTTTGAGTACACTGTCCGACTTTTAAGGAAGGGAACATATACTGCCTTTAGGCTGGGAAGTACTATTTTGCTTTTCTGTTCCCTCTGTAGAAATGCTAGTAGTCAAGCCTGAATACTTATAATTGAAAATTGGGGCTGAAAAATGTTAAATGTGCCACACAATGAAATGTTTGGTATCAAATAATTTTAAATATTGCCTCTAAATTTGTATAGTGGATAGCAGTATGTAGTACCAATTAGATGCTGCAAATGAATAATTTCTTGACCCCTCAGAAAACCAGACAAGCAGACCACCAACAGATTCTTCGGCAAACAAGCGAACTGCTGAGGGAACAGCACAGGTAGGTTGTTGATTGTTTCTCCATAAAATTCTAAAGTTACAATCCACAGGGGAAAAGTTCTTCTATTGCTTCTAATGAAACAATTTTAGTTTCTTTTTTGTGCCATCCTTTCTAGTTTCTGTCCATTTGTATTTTTCTTCTTCTTCTGACCCAGGGTATTACTTGGAGCAAGAGCTTCTGATAATCTTTTCAGAAGTTTTCTGGTGGGGTTTGGTTAACTTAGGTGAGTTAGTAATTCAGGAGCACACTAAAAACTTGTGTGATAAAACTGATCTCACATACCGAAGAACCCTGCCCAATTTTTGTCCAAAGGGCTTGAACTTAAAGCAGCAAATACTTTGTAAATTACTGCAGCTCTCTCATCTCCACACTAATCCAGAAGTTAATCAGAATTTTTGTTGCCATATGTCAGGGAAAAAAATAAAAGGGACAAGAAACTTTCTTCACAAATAACTACTTCATGATAAAGGAGGACTTGTGGTACTTCTGGATCTGGTACTTCTAAAATTTGTTGAACTTACTTTGAAATTTAGAGGTTGAAATTAAGCTCTTTAAAATCATTCATAATAAATTTCCTTTCTGCAAGCAGATATTTGACAAAGCACCTTATACTTACATTGCTGTTAACCAGAAGTCATTTTATTAGGGGAAATAAAACTAATTTCTTCTAGTCAAACTTGACATATTTAGTAGTGTTTCAAGGTTCTGAATTTCAAAACAAGAAGAAAATATACTGGACAGGATTGATTTTCACCTTTCACAGAAATAGTCTGTCAAAGATAACCACTATTACAGAATATAAACTGTGCCTCAATCTACCTTATAATTAAGGCATTTCATAAAGAATGGTTGGTTGGAACCTAATTTTTCAAACATACCTGTGGATTATAGCTATTAAAACGTTTGTCAGTACTTGGTATGTAGGAAGTTCAGTACTGGAATGGATGACGGTTTTAAGAATTTTCAGTATAAAATACATATTTTGGAATTTTTCTTCTTTGGTAGAGCCTGAAACTTGGAAAATATTTTGGAAAAAGAGATTGTGTGTGATAGTGGTATTTAGCAATGGAAGGTGAGCCAGGAGGAGGGAAATAAAAGACACCTGATGCTTTCTGGTTTTCAGTCGTCTGTTATAGTATGTGTTTCTAGGTTTGCATTCAGTCAAATCAGCTAAAGCATGTGTAATGCCATGGTTAATAAAGAAGGACCTGATGCATTTTAATTGGCTAGTGAGGTGTGGAATTGCCATGCCGTATCTTTGAAAAATCCAGTTAATGCCACCTGCTTTTTATTACGTAAAATCCAAAATATTATATATTGCTCCGCACTTCACAGCCCTCAGATCAAAAAGTAGTTCGCTGTGTGCCGTATACCTGTGGCGTATTTGATGGTACAACTTTGATCAATTGTTTCAAAAAGCAGTTGAAACAGGAAGCGACTTCATCAGAAAATAAAGAAGCGGTAGAAGCAGCACAGCCGAATTTTAACTTCCCCGAGGATGTCCTCTTTGGCTTGGAGGAAGAGGAAGAGGATGCTAAGAGCATCAAAAACACCCACAAGCAGACTGGCTGGGCAGCTAACCTATTAAAACAATGGCTGGCCAAAAATGGCAAAGACCCTAGCTTTGAATTGGTCCCAGTAAGTGAACTCAATGATATCTTGAGAGAGTTTTATTACACAATCAGGAATCACGATGGAAATACCTACAGCGTGGCAAGCTACAAGTCCATGCGCGCTGGCTTAAACCGGCATCTCAAAATGCCACCTTATAATCGTCAGATTTGCTTAATGAAGGACAAAGAGTTTGCTAGCGCAAACATGGTATTTGTGAGCGTGCTGAAGATGCTGCGCATGCAGGGAAAGGATGAGACTCACCACCATCCTCCTATATCTGCTGAGGACTTGCGTAAGATTAAACAGTCCGGCGTGCTGGGATTGCACAGCCCGCTGGCACTTGTCAACAAGGTGTGGTTTGATTTGCAGTTGCATTTTGCCAAGCGAGGGAGGGAGATTTTAAGAGATCTGGCTCCAGATGCTTTTGTTGTCGAGAAGGACAAGAACGGGCGTCGATACGCTATGTTTAGGTACCCTGGCAAAGGGAAAAATGGAGAAGATCCTCATAAAATGGGTAAAATGTATGACATGCCGGGGGACCCAAACTGTCCTGTTTTTTCCTTGGAGCTTTATTTGTCTAAGTTGCCTCCAGAGCCCCCCGCCTTTTACCTGCATCCTTTAAAGCTGACGTCAGAGCAGATGCGAGAGCAGCCTGTCTGGTACAAAAGAGAACCGATGGGTGTGAACTACTTGGGTACCATGATGCCCAGGATAAGCGTGGCAGCCAGGCTCTCCCAGCGCTACACCAACCATTCGCTCCGAACTACCACCATCCAGCTGCTGTGTGAAGCAGGACTGGGGCCTAGAGAAATAATGGCAGTGACGGGCCATCGCTCCGAGTCCGCTATCAGACACTACTGGGGAGCTGCAGACGTTCGCTACAGGGCTTGGTCAGATATAATGGAGAATAACGCCTCCAGTTACCTGTATAGCAAGATCCCAAAGGAAGTGATGAAAGAATCACTGTCCAGTGCCTCCATCGCTTCTATAAACCACGTTGCTCTAGAAAAAAACAGAGTTCTATTCTCTACAAAATCTGTGGTGCCACCTGACACTGATGCTGTGACTTTAGTCCCTGAGGGACGCCCAGCTCTGAATTCCAAAAGCCCCATCCTGTTGAACCACAGTTCTTCCAAGGTGTTTGTCCCCAAGAACGTGGCCAGTGGAAACAACCTAACCGCCAGTCCCCTTCAAGGCTGTTATAACGAACCTGTCTTTATAAAGCGTGTGATAAAACAAGAGCCAATGACTTGATGCATCTGTGATGGAACTGATTTCAAGTAAATTGTTAAAATGGAAAAATTACCAGATTTCGTTTTTCACTTGATCTCATGAGGAGGTTTTTTTATGGTCCAGCTCAGCAAGAAGCATCCTGTTTGCACTCATGAAGCCAGCTATGGAACAGAAACTTAAACAGAGCAGGGCTTGGAGTTTATATGACTTTCTGTAGCAGCTGGACCTCTCTAAGTGGCTGAGCAGAGCGATTAAAAAAAAATGAAAGGGAAATACTGATTTCCACTTAGCTGAAGAGCTATGCTTTCTTCAGAAAAAAAAAAGTACATGGCTTTTGTATTTTGTGAAGTGTGTTTATTATACCATTGTGTGCCTGCTGGCACTAATGTAGCATCTTACAAATCAAATACTTGATTTCTGAAGAGCACGGAGAAAGTAGAAGCTGAATAAAATAGACACAGATACACTACAAATATATACGTATGCATGAAAACACCTGGAATTGCTTGACCACTGTCACCCTCTCTGTTCAAATTATCAGACCTACCAGAGGATTGTGCCTTTTTTGTTTTTAATTTGTTAAACATCCTTCTAAATTGATTTTCTCTGTGCGCTACGGATTTGGTTTGCAGGTCTTTACTTTTTCTTCGTAATATTTCTGGCTAAGATTTCAGTCATTCTCTCTTCCAAAGGCACTATTGATACAGATGATATTAAAATTGGAAACTCTTCATCAGACCTACCAGAGGATTGTGCCTTTTTTGTTTTTAATTTGTTAAACATCCTTCTAAATTGATTTTCTCTGTGCGCTACGGATTTGGTTTGCAGGTCTTTACTTTTTCTTCGTAATATTTCTGGCTAAGATTTCAGTCATTCTCTCTTCCAAAGGCAATCTATTGATACAGATGATATTAAAATTGGGAACTCTTCAGTTGTGCATGAAACAGGGAAAACTTTCTCAAAAACATTGAGGACAGTTTTGTTGCAAGTAATTGGAGCTGAAGTGTTGTCTCTGTATGTGTTTATCTTGAGAGGTTTTTTGTATTTCCTCTCACCTACCCCTTCCATTACATTTCACAGTCTTTGAAGTATAGTCAGTATAGTCTTTGTCAGTAGAGTGTAATTCACAAGAAGACATTCTCTTCTTCCTCAAAACCCTACTCAACTTTTATTTTTGTGTTTAAGTTCTTTAGATTAGTTCATTACAGTAAACTGATCCTGTCATTACATTTTCTACAGGAGATTTTTACAGGTTAAAAATTCTGAGGACAGTGGATGTGAATTTTGTCAAGAGAAATCAAATCGTAATTTAAAAGGCTCTTTAATGAAAAAAAAATAGGAGGGCTAGTCATAGTTTGTTTTTAATGAATCACGCCTTATCTAACTCATGGTTTGTCTCTGACGAAAGTTGTGCCATAGAATAGCAGAGATTCTGACGAATCGTGAGATCTTGTAAATAAAAATGGAAGACTGGTAATCAAATCACAAATTATGGTAGGTCCACTTTGAAAGAGGAAATAGCATAGCATTTAAAATCATTTTCCATTGTATTAATTTAATGAACTAAGAATGGCTTCATCCTTCTGAAATGCGTGCGTATATGTGCGTACACGCACGTGCTCATACACACACAGTTTATGACACTAAGGACTTCACTGGAAATGTTTATTATGATGCTCAGCAGTGGAGAAAATAAGAGAAAAATGCCAGCTGAAATAACAAATTGACCATGATAAACTCTTTAATTCTGTGGAGAACTTCCTTGATGGGAAAGGCTTTGAAACATTGAATAAGATCTGTCACTTTGTTGTAGTCTGAGGTCTCGATGCCTGAACTTCAGAGTTTTTACCTTGACTGATACTATTTGCCTTTGTGGCCTTAGGTTGGTTCTTCATACTTACTGCATCAATTTTGCAAAGTGTAAGACCATCGCCGTGTTCCATTTTCTGATGGATCATGCTAAACATAAGATGTTTAGAAAGCGCTCTATTCATATGCTATGTTTTGTGTTTACAGTCACTTTTATTTGCTGTTGTTATAATGATTGAGCTGGTTATCAGGTATCATTATTAATATAAAAATTACTTCTGCACAATCCTACACTTACTTAGTTGCAGCAGTAACTTAGGACATCAATGACTAGATGAAGGAAA